TCGGGCCATTTTTCTTGAGTTTCCACACATGACAGGGAACACGCACGACTCGCCTCTGCGTGTCTGGCACGATCCCCCGTTCCATCCGTGTTCTGGCCGAATACCTAACAGCGGACGTCCCGGCGGCCACGTGATTCTCCATGGCGGCTCTGGCGATCGGCGTCATAAGACAGACAGACGTGCAGGCATCTCTTCTGTATGCTGACTTCACTTAACACTTTTTATTTAAAAATTGTCATAACTATGAGTTACACTAAATATCTCCAATTACACTGTGTCATTTTAATAGAGCCTATAAATAGAACCTCTACGTGTGTGTGTGTGTGTGTGTGTGTGTGTGTCTGTGCACCTGTTGTCTTTTGAGAAAGGGGCTCCCTCTGCAGCCCAGGCTGGCCCCGAACTTGTGGCACCACCAGCATCCTCTCAGCAGGGCAGAGCCCAGCCCCTCTTCAGCCCCTCAGGCTTGCGGTCCGTGGGCCTCAGACCCACTCATTACTACTTTCTTTGGCCTCAAGCTGGAGCAGCTGCCCACAGTGGGTGCCTGGCTCCGAGACTCCGGGATGGGCCGGATGCCTCGTCCCTGAAGCCTGGGGAGCCCTGGGAAAGTTCACTGGGGAAGCCAGGGGCCAGAGACCTGAGTGCCCCTCGGACTGGTCTGGAGTCCATGGCCCCGGGAGGCTGGAGGCCCTGTGGCATGGCCCCCTGAACCGGAGCACACACCCATCCCGAATGAGGACCGGGCTGGGGTCAGGCACGGGCTGGTCCTGTCCTCCTCTCCTCTGCTCTGCAGTACTGGGGAGTTTACAACTCAGGGACTTTGCACTGAGATACATCACCGGCCCTTTTTTAAAAAATTCTTATTTTATTTGACTTCTGCATGGGTGAATTAATTTGTATTCACATATGTGTGCAGCGTGTAATGATTACATTAACTTTGGGGAGCAGGTGCACAAATGTAGCATATCTTAGTTCTTTTTGTTCCTCTTCCCCTATCTCCACCCGCACCCTCTATATCGACGGCCCTCCCACTTACAGAAGATTTACCTCACGGTTCCTATTGTCTGTCTTTTGCTCTTTAAATTATTTACATGTCAAGTTTTTCATATAAGAGAAGTCAAGTGATATTGAAGTTACATCTGTTTTCCCATGAATGACGCAAGCGTATCCTTCTTTACGGCAGAGTAGTACTCCATCGGGTGTAAATCCCGCATTGTCTTTGCTCATTCACCAGCTGGTGGACACACAGGCCGCTTCCAAGGTTTAGCTGTTGTGAGTTGTGCTGGTATAAACATGGGTAGGGCCTGTATCACTGTACTACGAAGCCTCTAACTCTTTGGGGAAGACACCTGGGAGGGAAAGAGCTGGTTCAAATGAAATTTCTAGTTTTTTTTTTTGTTTTGTTTTTTTTAGGAATCTCCATTCTGATTTCCCTAGTGTTTGTACGTTTACATTCCCACCAACAGTACAGAAGGGCGCCTCACCAACATTTGTTACTGTTCCATTTCTTTTGTTTTGTTTCTTTTTGGAGACAGGGTTTTGCCATGTGGTTTGCGCTGGCCTTGAGCTTGCACTGATCCGCACGCCTCAGTCTCCCAGGTGCTAGGATGATGGGTGTGAACCACTGTACTCGGCTACTGTGTGATGGGTTACTTCATCCCCTTTGCAGTAAGATGGGAAATCGGTGTTGTTTCAACTCACACTTCTGTAAAGGCTCAGCTGGGATTCAAACTTGCAACCCTCCTGCCTCAGCTTCGCGGTTTGTTGAGATTGCAGGAGCGAGGCAGCCAGCCCAGCTAGGAAATCTGTCCCCATAGCTGCAGCCAGTTCACATGAGACATTAGAATCACTAAGTTCATGAGGCCAACTCTTCCCCAGATAGCAAAGAGCATAAGGAAAACATAGCCCATGCTGGTGCATACCATAATCTCAGCATGGAGGAGGCTGAAGCAGGAGGAGCGCCACAAGCTCAGAGCCAGCCTGGGCTACAAGGAGAGCTCAAGTTCAGCCTGGACTGCACAGCAAGACCCTGTCTCCCACCCACCAAAAGGAAAAAATAAAACCAAAATATCCTTCACAAACCTAAGTGCAGCAATCTTAATGAAATATTAACAAATTAAGTCCGATATATACAAGCAATGAAATACTCTGATCAAGTGGAATTCACAGTAGGAACCCTAAACTCGTTCAGTATCTGGAAATCAGTCCCTGTCACCCACCACGTTCACAGTCAAAAGCAGACTGACCAAATCAACCTTATAAATCGATACCAAAAAGAACTTGGAAAACTTCCACATCCGTCACCTTAAAGACTCCCTGCAGGGGTCAAAATAACGCTGAAGTTTTATCTCGTCCTGTGAGACAGACAAGAAACGTAATGAGTTTCTTGAAAATTGCCTATTGAAGGCCTATACTTTTGCTCTCCAGGAATGGATGACACTACAAGTTAGTGTTGTTCTGAAGAAAGGATTTTCTTTAAAGTAAGAGTAGAAAGAAGACTATCTCAGCCTGATAAAAAATATCTATGGGACACCTAAGCAGTCATCATACTTGATGGTGAAAGACTTACTGCTTTTCCTCTGATTGAAGAATGGGCAGGGCGCGGCCCTGCTGTCACTCTGCCTGCACTGGTGTCCAACCCACTGAAGGTGAGCAAAGGCAGCGAAAGCATCCAGATCTCACTGACAGAGTTACCTGTGCGGAAAAGGCCCGAGGAAGGCATGGGAGAACTGCGCAGCTGGTGTAAAGACACGGCAAGACACAAGGTCGGCACATAAGAGCTTATCTAATTTGTGTATTAGCAAGAACTAATCAGAAACTGTGTGCACTTGTGTGCGAGAGCGTGCCTCTGTGTGTGTGTGTGTGTGTGTGTGTGTGTGTGTGTGTCTGTGCACGCGCGCAGGAGTGTTGGGGAATCCAGGAACTGCCCAAGAAGAAGCATATTCTCTACCTCTGAGCTATAACCATAGAATATGTAAACATAAAACAATTAAAAGTTTATACTAGCTTCATAAAATGAAATGTTTAGGTATAAATCCAACAAAACATGATCAGAGTCTGTATCCCAAAAAGTACAAAATCCTCAGGAAGTAAATAAAACAAACCTCAATATCCAAGAGATATATTATTTTATGGGTTAAAAGATGTAACTCTCCCCAAACTGATCTATAGATTTAATACACTTCTAACCAAATCTCAGTGGTATTTTATGGATACAGATAAATTGCTTCTAAAATTTATATGGAAGTCAAAGGAACTGTAATAGCCAAAGCAATTTCAAAAAGAGTAATAAAGTTAGAGAAGCCACACTATGAGATTTTTAAGATTTATAATAGACCTGCAGCAATCAATTCGGTGAAGAGAAGCGTAAACACACAGATCAAGAGAACAAGACAGACAACTCAGAGTGGATCCACATCAACATTTCACAAAATTACAAAAAAAAAAAAAAATTAAATTGTGGAGGAGTAGCCCTTCAGCTAAGGGTGTTTTGTTTCGTTTTGAGACAGGGTTTCACTGATTTGCACAGCAGGCCTTAGGCTTGTGGTCTTCTTGCCTCAAGCTCTCAAGTAACTGGGATTAAAAGGATGGAAGACTTTGCCCGGTCATAAATGAGGTTGGGACAAACGATCAACTACATTGCGATAAATGAACCTTGCCCATCACTTTGGACCTTATACAGATGCTCCTTGACTTATGCTGTGGTTACATCCTCAGTGCCATCCTTAATTGAAAATATCAAAGCGAAAATATTTTTAATCTACTGTCATAGTCACTTTGCCGGCACTGGACACAAACCCAACACCCACAACTTAAAGGAGAGGTTTATTTTGGCTTACGGTATACAGAGGATGTAGGCCATGGTCTGCTGGCTAGAAGGCAGAAACAGCCCGCGGGAAAGGTCTGGGGAGGGGAAGCTGCTGACCAAGGCAGCTGGAAAGCAGAGAGAGGAGGGGGAAGCAGGGAGGGAGATGCACCTTTCCAGGCCCTGCCTCAGTGCCCAGCCTTCATCCAGGTCCCGCCTCCAGCAGCGCATGCCCGAGCGGACGAGGTCAGTGGAGGAGCACAGCCCCAGACTTTCCAGACTTTCCAGTGTCTTCTACACCTGAGAACTTGGGGTGATATCTCTGATCTAAACCATAGCATGTACATAACCTACCAAATAGCACAGCTTAACCCAGCCTACGTAAAATATGCTGGAAATATTGACGGTACCCTAAAGTGGGGCAAAATCATCTAAGACAGAGCACAGTTTTAGAGTAAAGTGTGGAATATCGTGTGTATGAATACTGTACCAGAACGGAAAGACAGAGAAGCTGTACGAGGCTTTTGCCACACACTTAAGTCTTCGTGATTTAAGGGCTGTCTACAAAAGAACTGACTAAAAATAGCTCCCAGACTGACATGTAAAATATATAATTATAAAATCTGAAGAAAGATATAAGTCAGAAGCCTATGAGAAAGAAAAAGTGGCTTCCCAGGAAGTGAAAGGGCAGCAGATTCAGCCTGGGGCAGAGCTGAGCACCGTCTCCATGGGAGCAGGCTTGGAATAAGCTAGAAGGAGAGGCACGGCGAAGAAGCCAAGGCCTTGGAGAGGAGGAAGGCGCCTGGAAGAGAACCCGGGTGCAGGTGGACGCACCAGCGGTAACTAAGGCACGGCTGTGCCCCTCCAGCTGCAGATTGCTCCTCTAGAAGGATGTGCCCAAATTCCGAAGGACCGGGGTTCTGCGAGAGAGGCTGTTCCTCCCGGGTCATTCCAGAGGGTGCTCCGGGAAAGCAGGGGACAGAGCAGTTAGGCCAGGGTTTCCCACAGGATAAACTGGAAGGGAGGAGCGGGATGCAAGGCCCCTCCGGTGGGCAAATGCCTTCAGGGCGCATGCAGGTCTCTTTACGCTTCAGTTTCCCGCACCGTGGAGTGGGTTAATCCCTGAAGTTGCGGTGTAGGATGTCCTCAGCTCACGGAATGAGCTATTTAATGAGCTTCGGGTTTCCCTCCACACTAGTAACTAGGATCGAGGCTCTACTCCATAGAAGATGGCCCAAGACAACTCAGGCCGCGCTCGCACACATAGTCCTGTCTTTGTAAACCGATCGCTGTGTGTGGCTTCAGCTCCATGGCCCCTCCACGGAAAGAGCAGCGACGCTGAAAGCAGACGGGAGTGCGGAGCTCTACCCAGGACGGACCGGGTGAGCACACCGCGGGGCGGGCGGTGCTGTCGGTGCTGTCCAGGGCAGGAGGGTGCACGGTGTGCTGGACGCCAGCAAAGCCTGAGCCAACTGCGGATCAGGTTTCCTTAGGACAAGGAGGGGATTCCGAGATTGGGAGAGATTACTGAAGTTTAGGAGGAGGAAGTCAGACTCCTCTTCCTGCAGCCCAGAGTGTATGGAGAAGGACCCACTTCTCAGGGCCGGTGATTCATTCATTCCTTTTAACGATTAAAAAAAAAAATGACAGAACAGGCGAGGAATATCGGCTCATTGTGTTTGCCTCGGATTCGGCGGAGGGGTCCCCATGCGGACGGGGAGGGGGAGCGGCCTTTCCTGCTTTCAGTTTGGGCTGCAGCTTATGGCTGGCCAGCTCGGGTGAGGAGTGCAGACCCAGACCTGAGCCCACAAAACACAACCGAGAGAAGCCACTCAGGAAAACGCACAGTGGCACCGCTCAAGAGCTATTCAGTTCCAGTCGCTGTCTTTTTTTTTTTTTTTTAATTATGGATTTGTAATTCAGTTTAATTCTTCCTGGAAGTAAAATTCCTGGTAGACCAGAAAGCTCAGCAACAAACCCCATGGCCTCCAGCCCTGGCTGCCCTGGAAAATCATTTCTAGAATTTAAAAGATAAAAAAAGCCTCTGCATGGCTTGGGATCCATTTCAAAGCATTTAAATTAGACTCTCCAGGAACTTCAGATTTTAAAAAAATCAAGCGACACATTTCTGCCCTTATTTATTTATTTATTTCTGAAATTGATGACTCTTCCGTGGATAACTTTTGTAGTGTTGAAATTTTGTCAACTCTGACCCAGCATCTTTATGCTGAGGAAGAGAGCAGGAGGAAATGATCATAGGTGTATGAAAAATGTATCAGTTTTGAGCTATCCTGACAGTGCTTCTAATAGCAAAATCTAGAAACATCATAGGTGTGTAATAAGAGTTCATTTTTTCCCAACTATGTTTCATGCATTTAATGGACTACTCTGTAGCTATTCGAATAATGTAAAGGAAATATTTAATGTATATGCCATGCATGTATTGAACTCACGAAGAGGGAAGTGGACCACAGACAAGTCTGATAGTCCTTTGCAAAAAATCTATTTAAGGAAAAATTAAAAAACCTACCGGAATCTATTCCAAAACAGGAATATTTACCATAAACAAACAGTATAGGAAGTGTGATGGTTTTCACATTTTCTTACACATAGTTATTTTCTAGATTTTTTGAAAAATTTTTATAAACAGAAAAATTAGAAGCAGTTATAGAATCTAAGACGTTTACATCGAACCATGTCTCTGCAGAGCAGCCTGTGTATTAAAGTAACTGACGCCTTGACTTTGCCCCTATTTGAATGAACAGATCGCACAGGGAAAACAGCCTCCCAGGGGCACCCTGCCTTCGGCGCAACTGTAATCACAGCAAATCCTTGCTTCACGTATGACTTTGATTTAGGAAGTGGAGTCAGGAACAACTGGCTCAATTTGGCAAAGACAGAGGAAGATAGGATTTGATGCTCTTGATTGGTTTTTGCAGTTGTTTCGAGCTAATGGGCTGTTTTCTTCCTTAATGTCTTATAATTAGGAACAGCTGCTGTGAGCTGTGCGGAGAAACTTCCTGCTCTCAACCCCGCCTCTGAAGTTAAATCAATCTGTGTAATTAAAGAATTGGTGGAAGAGATGAGGCGGTGGACTGGCAAATTTGTGCATCCCTTCCCCTCCCCCTTCCCCACCCTCCCT